AGATCCATGCAAGATCCAAGGAGGAGTCACAAAGTCCATCAACGCTCCTTGCAAAGAGCCCACCTTTGAAAATCCTCCTCTTGTGCAGCTTCTCCCACTTGTGTGTTACTTCCAGCCCAGGCCTTGGCAGCTCCTGGCTAAAGGCTGGGAAAGGGGGTGCCCTGAGGACCCTATAGAGGGGTTGCTCCCAGCCGCTTTCCTCCTCTCCCACAATCAAGTATCCACAGGAGCTGCTTCTATCCTCCCAGATCCCACACTCCTAATGGCAGGGCCTGTAAAGCCATAATTGCAAAGCAATCAGGTCTTTTACAGCTCTTCAGTAAAGCAGGAGATACTGCAAGGGGGGAGATAACCCCAGCGCTGGGGCTTTACTCCCTGGAGGAAAATAGAAGCCTTTGAGTGCCCTGGAAGCAATTTACACCTGGCAGTGTTCAAGGCCAGGTTGGACACAGGGGCTTGGAGCAAGCTGCTCCAGTGGAAGGGGTCCCTGCCTGTGGCAGGGGTTGGAGCTGGAGGAGCTTTAAGGTCCCTTCCAACCCAGACCAGGCTGTGACTCATTAAAAGGAACACCATTCCCTCCCTGCAGCCCCACACCAGCACCTCACTCCTCTCACTTTCATGTGCTTGTCACTGGAGCTCTCCCACTCCAGCACCTGAGCCCTGCTCGCAGCACCCATGGTGGGCCCTGGACACATCTGCTCCTGAAGGCTTCCCCACAGCCCCCTTGGTCTAGTGCAGGGGTTCCAGCAGGGATACCACCACGTGTCCCCACACACCCCATGGAGCCTCCTCACCCGGCACAGCTCCATAGGCACCCACAGGGCAGAAGACCATCACCACAGCAGAAGACAGAATCATAGAATCAACCAGGGTGGAGAAGCCCTTTAATCCCATCCAGTCCAACCCTTACCCCCGCACTGCCAAGGCCACCACTAACCCATGGCACTGAGGCCTCATCTCCACGCTGTGTGAACACTTGCAGGGACGGTGCCTGCAGCCCTGCCCTGGGCAGCCTGTTCCAATGCCTGAGCACCCTCTGGGGCAGGAATTGTTCCTCAGCTCCATCTAAACCTGCCCTGGTGCAGCTTGAGGCCGGTTCCTCTTGTCCCATCCCTTGTTCCTTGGGAGCAGAGCCCAGCCCCTCCTGGCTCCATCCTCCTGTCAGGCAGTTGGAGGCAGCGGTGAGGTCCCGCGCCCCAGCCCCGCCGCGCCACGCGTGCCGGCTGCGCTCACACCGCGAGGGGCCGCCCCACGCCACGGGCCAGGCCCAGAGCGCGGCTGCAGGCCCCGAACCCGCGGCCTCAACCTCGGCTCGGCTCCGCCCCACCCGGCCCCGAGCGCCGCGGTCAAAATAAGAGTCCCCGAGCCTGAGGCGGCCCCGCAGCACGCGTCAGGGCAGCGCTGCCCCATCAGCCCCTGATGAGACCATCCATTCACTAATCATTAATCAATTCATTAATCAATTTATTAACCAATTCATTAACACACACACCCCTGAGGGCCCCGCAGCGCTGGAGGCAACGTCCCTGCGGAGAGCCCGCTATGGGGCCTCCCGCTGTGTGGGGAGAGCCCCGGGCCGCGGCAGGGATGGAGCTGTGGTGGCGGCGCTGGGCGTCCTTCCCCCTGGGCTTCCCCCTCCATGGAGGGACCGTGCCCCCATGAAGAGCCACCAGCCCCTCGCAATGGTGCCGCTGGAGCCTTGGGCCCAGCACGGAGCAGTGTCCGCAGGAACGGCCCCGGCCTGCAGTGGGGATGCTCAGCTCGACACTGAGGGGGGAATCACCGAACCAGCATCCCTGCTCCCGCACCCCAGCGCTGGGGACAGGGTGGCCCCGGAGCAGGGCCCGGTGGGTGCTGTCTGCTGGAGCCGGGACAGACAAACCTCCCCTTGGGCATCAGGAAGGGGAGAGGCTCCCATAGGGAGCGGGAGTAACCGGGAATACACCACAGAGCCATGGCTCCTGTCCCCGCTCTGGGTTAGCCTCGTGTGTTGTTAACAGGAGCAGGGCGAGGACGGGATCTGCTTTGCCACCAAGCGCCCATTTCCCTGCAGAAGATCCCAGGAGGAGCCGCAGAATCCCCAGCGGCGAGGATCCGATGTGGATCCAGCGCGGATTAGATGTGGATGCAGCGCGGATCCGATGTGGATCCAGGGCGGATCGGATATGGATCCAGCGCGGAGCCGATGTGGATCCAGCGCGGAGCCGATGTGGATCCAGCGCGGAGCCGTGGCTCAGCCCCACCATGGCGGCGGCTCCCTCGGCTCCCGCAGCCGCGCTGACATCGCCCTCTCCCGCCCCGCGCCGGGACCGGCCTCCGCATCCCGGGATTCCTGCCAGCAGGAAGAGCGCGGCCCCGGCGCTTCCTCCGGCCGGACAGGGCTGCAGAGCCGGAGCTGGGCACGGGTTCATCCCCCCCGGTGCACTGGGGGGGAACTGGCTTGGCTTTGCCACTGGCTGTCACCGTGGCCTCTGACAGCAGGAGCCCCTCCTCGCCCGCCGCTCCCAGCCCGCAGCGCCCACACAGAGCCCATCCCGCCCCAACCCGAGCAAAAGCAGCCGCGGGCTTAAGAAAGATCTTTATTTACATTTTGCAGCTCTTGACATGGGGTGGTTTAAAACGGGGCTGGACGGGTACAATGGGAGGGGTCCACTGCAAAACCCCGTTACAAATCGCACCGAAGCCTGAGGTTGAACAGAGCCAGCAAATGCTGTATAAAACCCGCGCATCTGGAAAGGGAACCACAGGAGTAAAGAACCGCGGCCATTGGTGTGGGTACAAGAAGGGGCACCGAGTGTGGAGGGTTCTACCCCCCGGGTATCTCCCTGGGACATTCCTGCTGCAGAACGTTGGGAATGTCTAAAAGTAAGAGAATAAAACCCAACCGGAGCCCAGAGCACCCTTTGTCTCCCCTCTTGTGCTGGCTCAACAGGGAAGTTCCTAGCAGGCAGCATGTTGGTTCAGTGGAAAGCTGAAAGAGAGTCAGAAGAGCCTTTGCATCCCCTGTGTCCCCTTTCCCATCTCCCACAGGCAGTGGGACATCAGGTGCCAAAGCGGAGTTTAGCAGGACACAAACAGCAGTGAAGATGCCCAAAACATGGAAGCAGCACATGTGGAGAGTGGGACAAGGACAAAAAAGCAGCAGCAAAGGGAAAAAGGCAGATGGTATTTTTGGTATTTTCCATGGAATGCTGAGTTTGGAAACCATTGGCTCACTCGTGCCCCACCGCTTCCCCACTGCAGCACAACCAAACCCAGCTGCTTAAAAAGTAGAGCCAGGAATGTGAGTGAATCCCTGTGGGTTGGAGTTCTTTATAGCCAGAGCTGGGTTTGGGAAAAGGGCCTTTTTTCCCTCTTCATTCCTGCCTTTGGACTGGGGGAGGCTCAAAAGCCTCCAGGAGCTCCCCAGGACTTAGAGGTTGAAGCTGGAGAGGCTGCAGAGGAGGCAGACAGCAGCGAGGCTGATGTTCCTCTCGCAGGGGAACACAAACCTGGACACTGAGGTCTGCCCCGTTGTGTTCACCCAGTGCTTGTTACACCCCGAGCACTGGGGCCACCACTGCAGGCAGGTTGAAGAGCTGGACTAACCCCATCCACCAAAGGGGTCCATGACACATGAGCAAGGATGGGACCTGCTGTACCCTGGCCAGAGCCTCCCCACAGGCCTGAGAGGGGCATTTCTCTGCAGGAGCTGTGCGTGCCCAGCCCCAGCATCCAAACTGAGGATCACCATGAGGCTCAGCTCCAGCTCCTTCCTGCTCCCTCCACAGCAGAGATGGACACTCCTCACCAGCGAAGAATAACGATCTCCCTTGTTGCTTTGCCAAGGGGACTCCATGTACAGCAAGAGGTGCTGAAGGACCAGGTTGCAGTAAATGTGATTTGGGACAGCAAGCTCAAGAGCAGGGGAGCACTGCAGAGACAAGGGCACCACGGGAGCTCTGTGAGATACAACTGGCCTCTCCTTGCCATGGTCTCCACCTCGAGCGGTGCATTCCCAGCTGCAAAGGTTAAATGAGGAGGACAGACATGGCTGGGCGTGTAGGACATCCCCGTGGCTCTGGCCACAGTAAGCAAACAGCATCCCAGTTTTCCAGCAGAGGAACATGGGCTGGACATGACACCGGTAGCTCAGTTCCAGGGATGGAGAACAAGTCAGCCCAGGCTGACTCTCCTGGCCCCCAGCTGGGCCAGGAGCATGTGAGGCCAACCCAGCAGGGCTGGAAGCATTGACAGCTCCCTGGGGTTTGTCCAGAGGTGTGGAAGGTGTTTGGGTTGAGGAAAGGAGGGATACAAACTGCTGACAGCAAGGAAGGCCACGGGAGCTATGGGCTGAGCCAGGCACAACAGGTTCAGGTAACTGGGAGGAAGAGGAAGAGCGCTGTGAAGAGCTGCACCATCACAACCAAGCTCCTGCCTTTGACCCCCTGCATATCAAGAAGGCTTTTGCTGGCAGGCACAGACCAGCAGGCACAGGACAGAGACTTGAAGAAAGCTGTGCACAAGCATGAACTGAGCAGAGTGAAGCAGCATCCTCATGTCTGAGGCCCAGCTCACACCTCGAGCTACTCGCAGTGACAGTACTTAGTCAGCACCTGTGCACCTCAGCCATGGTGTCACCAAACTGTGCATGGGGAGGAACCTTCTTCCAGTTTTAACACGTTGATTCCAAATGGAATCAGAGGGCAGGGGCTGGGGGTGTCCAGCCCCTCCAGCCAGACCCTGGCTGCTCCATCTCCATCCTCCTGAAGGGAGAGCCTGTGCTCCCATCCCTCTCCTGTTGGACAGCAGAGAGAAGTGCCCAAGAGGGCCACTTGGACAAACCATGGCTTTGGGACACTGGACAGGCTGCACTGTGCTGGGTGTCAGCAGAAGTCACCATCTCCTGTGGCCAGAGTAAAAACGTGCCTCACTTTGTCACACCGCAGCACGATGCATCCCTGGGTTTGGCATGAAGAGGCACATGGATAAGCATCAGCAATGGATGAAAAAGCACAGCATTTCTCTTAGAATAATTTATTAAATACAGCATTAAAATTTGTATTTCTGAATTCAATCATTAAAAACAAAACATCATATATATATATTTTGGGGACAATGAATCATTCTATCACCAGCAGTGCGTGCTGTGCCAGCACTGCTCAGAACAGCACCTTCTCTACTCTATCCTTAAAGCAGTTCAACACTTAAAATGAACCAAACTAAAAGCATTTGCAAAGGAAGAGTGCAAAGCAGGCTTGTCCCCAGCTGCAGCGGGTGTGCGGGGCGGAGGGGAGGCTGTGCTGCTCCCCAGAGCCTTGTCACATACTGCCTGGAGTGAGACCAGCGCTCAGAGGGGCCCAAGCTCTGCTCCAGCTGTGCCCTAGGGTTGTGGTTTCCTCAGCTTGGGCAGTTGATGCTAAAAAAGCTTTAAAAAGGAGGTGAGGAGGAAGAAGCATGGAAAAAGCATGGTTTCCATCCATCAGCTTCACCCCTGACCTGCTGGGTCCAGGAGCGCAGCGCTTTCTGTTCCCACTCCTCATCTAGCTCAGCAGGCAAGTGGTCAACCAGCACCCAGAGAGCAGCGCCCAAGCCAAGCACCCTCGTGCCCTGGCTTGGCTGTGCTGCGTGCTCCTGTGAGACACGAGGCTGAGCCTCCAGGGAGGGTCATCCCAAAGGAAAGGGATTCCATGGGCAGGGACTCAGAGGTAGCATCAGACAGGACTTTTCTAACTTGATCATCATGGAATTCTGGCCTGCTGAAGGCAGCTGGGATGGAGCAGGCACCCTGCAGGGTGGGACACAGGGATCTGGGGTGTCCCATCACTGCAGCCTGATGAGTGCTGCTCATCCCAAGTGATGCAGCCTGCAGCGAGCCAGGATGGATTGTCTCTTACAGGGCTTCCCAGAGGAAAGTCACCCTTTGCTGAGAATGGCCAGAGGCTGGGTGGTGGGCACCCAAGGTAACACTGGGCTCCCTCCACAGCTCTGCAGGGCCTCCTGGGTTAGGAGTGAGTGCCCCAGCCTGCTCTCCCCCCCTCACAGACTGTGTGAGGACCAAAGGCTGCAGGTCCCTCACCCCACAGCACAGGTACAGGGAGGACTTTTGGCTCTTGAAGAGTCCCTGACCTTCCAAACCCGCTCACTCCAAGAAACCTCCTGTTTCAGCTACCCTTAGGCCCTATGAGGACAGGGTTCTCAAAACCACTTCTGGAGAGCACACGGCCCCTAAAGACAAGAGGAAAGTCCACCCAGCCCAGCCTTCACCTACAGTGGAGACATGCCAAGTCAGGAGCATTTCAGATAAGGCATCGCAGGTGCTTTGATAGTAAAGCAGTTAGTGTTGACTACAGTACTTTAAACACAGGCTGCTGCAGAGGCCACCCCTGGGGCTAAAGCAGTCCTCCAGCCCTTGGTGCAGCAGCAGGCGAGTTTCCCAGACCTCTCCTATGCACACACAGGCTGCTCTGGCTGCACTTTTTGGTTTTCCCACCCCCCTCCCTAGAAAGAGACTTAAAAAGCCCAGGCTGGGCCCTGCCATTTACCCCACCAAGCAGCCAGAGAGATAGAGACGCCTCGTGCTGTACCAGAGCTCGGGGTCGGCAGCTGAACCGTGGCACTGGGGTGGGCAGCACCAGCGGGACTCAGAGCAGGGGAGGTCAGTTGCCGTTGCTGATGCTGGAGTTGGCACTGCTGCAGCTCTGCTCGTAGGATGGAGGTGCCTCTGCAGGGAGAAGAAGGAATAAAGTGGTTGTGGTGGGTGTTGGGAGGGTCCCTTCACCCCGTGTGTGCTAACACGTGGCATGGGACTCTCTGACAGTAACTTCAAAGCTGTTGAGTTAAATTCTTCCCTGTGAGGGTGCTGAGGCGCTGGCACAGGGTGCCCAGAGAAGCTGTGGCTGCCCCATCCCTGGCAGTGCTCAAGGCCAGCTTGGACACAGGGGCTTGGAGCAAGCTGCTCCAGTGGAAGGGGTCCCTGCCTGTGGCAGGGGTTGGAGCTGGATGAGCCTTAAGGCCCCTTTCAACCCAAACCAGGCTGGGATTCTATGTAGTGCACAGGCAGGATTTGAGTCAGGCAGCCCCATGCCTGTCCCGATGCCTGCAGGGGTTAAAATCAGCACCTCCAAGTCCTGTCTGTTCCCTCTTCTTCACAAGCATCCTCACGTACCTCCATTACCTCCAGATCACAAGTGCCTCGTGCTCCCTGCACCCTGACCCATCTCACTCCCCCAGTGCTAACAGATGGGTTTATTCAGGTAGGACGGTGCTAGCAGACACCGCCGGTCTCTTCCACCCCAGCTGCCTGCAGAAGCACAGCTCCAGGAATCCATCACGCTGGGATTTCCCAAGCTTTTCCAGGCTGGGCAGTCTCGCAGCTCCCACCCTCACAGCTGCAGGCCCACTCCAGCTCAGACTGAAGATTCCAGTTACATCACTTTCCTGGCTCGGCTCCCGCCAGCCTCACCACAAGCCAAGGAGTTTTTCTCTCAGTGAGAGGCTGGAAGCTCAGTTAAGAACAGGGAGATCCTCTCACAACAACGAGCCCAGGGTAGGCACGGGTACACATGTGGGAATGGACAGCAGCTCTGACAGCTGTGAGAGGGGACTTCTCCAGAGGCTAAAGCAGGCAGAGAGATCTGGTGATCCCCTCTGCCATGACTGCGGGCTGACATCCCTGTATCCCCCCCAGCTCACAGCTAGCAGAGACTCTTGTGGTAGGAGATGTTTACTAGCACACTGACAGGCTGTTTGGGTCCTCACCATAGGGGTAGCCCCACGTGCTGTACTCCGGAGGCAGAATGAGGGAGCTGGCGGTGGGGACAGGCACCACGTTCCCCTCAGCATAGTAAGGGACAGTGGCCCCCGTTGACAGGCAGAGCGTGGGGTGGTTTGGGGAGCCCGTCTGCTCCGAGTCCACCCGTATCTCCTGGAAGCTCAGTCCTGGGGCGTAGCTAAAGGGCTGCTGCTGGGAATGGCTTTTGGTAGGGATGGAGACATTGTCCATGGAGTGGTAACCGCTGGCAGCCTCCTCTTCCTCCGGGGGGGCACTGGGTACCACTGCAGATGGGACGTGCTGGATGGGCCGGGAGGGGCTCAGGGGCACCCTGTTCACAGCAATGTTACCGATGTAAATGGGGAGCGTGACTGAAACCTCTGGAGACTTGAGGGACACCTGGAAGAGAAGGAAAAACAGTGGCATCCTCTTCACCATACACTGCACTGGGAAGGTTCACCTGGTGCAAGCGTCACCCACATCACCCACAGAGTTCAGCAGCTGAGCTCAACCCAGCCCACTGGAACTCCCAGGAGCACCGATGGACTCACCTGGATGTAGTAGTCGATATGGATGAGGCTACAGCCCTGCAGAATGGACTGGGGCAGCGCTGGAACGAGGATCTGCTCCTTCCACTCTGCACATTTCCAGGCTTTCACTCCTGAGCCTTCCACCTCTGCAATGGTCCTGAGGTCGTAAATCCAGCGCTTGGATTTATAAGCCACTTTCTGTACAGACAGGAGAAAACACAGCTAGCAGAAAGACTGCAGATGGTCTCAAGACAGACTGAGAGAGCTGGGCTGGGTGAGCCTGGAGAAGAGAAGGCTCCTGAAGGGGAGACCTTAGAGCAGCTCCAGTGCCTAAAGGGGCTGCAGGAAACCTGGAGAGGGGCTTGGGACAAGGGCCTGTAGGGACAGGCCAAGGGGAATGGCTTGAACCTGCCCGAGGGGAGACTGAGCTGAGCTCTTAGGCAGAAGCTCTTCCCTGTGAGGGTGCTGAGGCGCTGGCACAGGGTGCCCAGAGAAGCTGTGGCTGCCCCATCCCTGGCAGTGTTCAAGGCCAGGTTGGACACAGGGGCATGGAGCAAGCTGCTCTAGTAGAAGGTGTCCCTGCCTGTGGGAGGGGTTGGAACTGGGTGAGCTTTAAGGTCTTTTCCAACACAAACCCTGCTGGGATTCTGTCTTCCACAAACTTAAAAGTCAGGACACAAAACCACCCAACTGCTTTGTCAAACAAGCAGGAGCACAAACCTCACGTGCGTATTACAGAGCAGAAATACCCATCATTACCTGACAGACTGAGTCGGGACAAGCAAGACAAGTTCTACCACCTCTTTCCCCAGTAAGACAGGGAGAATCAGAGGTAGCCAGAGGCCTGAACTCCTCACTGTCCCCTCCCAGCCACACGCAGCAGCGACGCACAGTGGTGAGGGTGAGAACTACCCCAGTTTCACAGAGACCTCGGGGCGTGCAGTGCCAGCACAAGCCCAGCACCAGCCTTCAGATGCTCACCTGGAGCAGACTGGCTACCACAGCCCCTGTGTCCCGGCCCGACTTGTTCTCGATGTCGGTGCGGAGCTGGATGGCCTGGCCCACGATGTACCCTTTCAGATCCGAGGTGGCAGTCAGGATGATGTTACCGCTTTTCACTAGCTTGTAGTTGAACTTCTTGGTGACTGACATAGTGTTGGGCTGCTGCAGGACAGCAAAAGACAGAGATGTTGGCTCAAGAGACTCAGAGAACCCCCACGAAAACACTCAAGAGGTTGAAAACACACAAGCAGAAATATCTGGTCTAAAAGGATGCAAAGAACCAGCAACACAGCACTACCAGAGACAATAGCTCTCACTTCTCCATCTCCCCAGTTTTGCTGTCCTATTAGTTGCTCTTCCCTCCAAAGCAAGTTCCCCAAAGAAGGCTCTTCACAAGCACCTGGTGCTGTTGGCCAACCCCTCCCTCTGCATGCTGAAAATTCACCTAAAGCTTTTAAAACAACATATGGAGGACTCAAAAATCACTTGGAGCAGGGACTGACATCAAGGTAGGAGGGATCAGGAGTCCCTGTCCTGCTCTTGCACAGTCAGGGAGGTGTCCAACCCCACAATTACTCTCCAGACAGCACACAGGACACACAGACAAGTCCCAGCCATGCTCCTTGTTCTCACCTCAATGTCAGGGATGTCATTCAAGTTGAGAGGGCAGAGAATGTAGAAGATCTTGCTGCACTTGTAGTCCTTGGAGAAGCGAGGTGTGTCTATCACAGCCTTCACCTGATGCAGGACCTTGCCGAAAGGCCCTTCAAAGGACGTAGGAGCAGAGGCTGGAGTCGAGAGGGAAAGAAAAGGGACGTAAGGCTGAGCCAGGCCAAGTGTTTCTGGGCTGGAAGCACAGTCCCTTTAAACAGCTTTCCTCTTCTGAGGAGGTCTGCAAGGACCCGAGAGACAGAGCCCTTGGAAAATACAGCCCTTGGGGCTGAACACTTGAGGTCACTTGGGGACCTTGATGCAACCTCCTTGCAAGAAGAGCTCCTCTGCAAGTACAGGTGCCAGAGCACAGATCCTCTCTCCAAGCCACACGCCAGGGCCCCAGTGCACACCAGAGAGCCCACAGCGTCACGCTTGGAGAGGCATCAGCCCCAGCTCAGACCTGGCTTTGCACCAACACAGAAGGTGCCTGCTTGTCCAAGCTCCCTCTCGTGTCTTTGGGCCAAGCCACCTCTGCCATGCCCCCAGTCCTGCTCAGCACACCCCGAGAGGCTGCACAAGCCAAAGCTCCCATGGAAGTGCCTTCAGCCCTTTATCTACACCATACCTGGCAGCAGGAACTGGAAGGGGAAGTTGTGCTCTCCAGCTGTCAGGACCCCTGTGGGAAACAAGAGCAGAAGGTCAGTGGGGCAGGCTGTGGCCATGGGATGGTGTCACCCTCTGGTGAGTGAGGCCACCGGACAGGGACCACCACACAGCTTGTTCTGCCTGCAGCCCACTGGGCAGCTCCAGATCCAACGAGAGAGCCTGAGTCAACATGAGCCTCTGCGGCCACACAAGCCTCCTGGAGATGGGAGATGTCTCCATTCCCAATGACTGATCTCCATTGATACCCTATAACTAAGGTAGTTTGGGGCAGGGTTTAAGGGATCCCAGCACTGTAGCACATGATTAGCCCACTCTGCTGACACAGGGCATGGAGAAGGGATGCTCAGTGCTTATCGACCCTCAAGCAGGCTAAAGCCAGCTGGGAGGAAGGCGAGAAAGCACAGGCACTGTGTGAGGGTGGACGGGAGGTCTGGAGGGCATTGAGCTGCCTTAGCCACCCACCCAGCCCCATGCAGACTGCACAGTGCTCACGAGCTGGAACCAGAGGTCCCTCTCCCAGACCTAAACCCATGCCTGGTCCCAAGAAAGGACCTGCAATACCTCACCTCAGCACATGGCTAAAACAACAGCTACAGACTCAGACACCCCAACCCCATCCACCCTCCAGCACTCCCATCTGGACTCTGATTCCCTGCCAGGGCAGTGTGATGGCTGAACTGGACCTGCACTGCGATCTGGTGACATCAGGCACGTCCCAAAGTTGCCTTCAGTAAGAAAAGCACTGAAGTTCACCCACATCTGTTAACTACGTGCAAAGACAGGAACAGCAGTGCTGAGAGCAGACCTGGGCTCCCATCCAGCCAGGCTGGGTTGATGCTGCTTTGTAAGACCATTGCTGGAGGAACCAGGACTCTAGATCTGGCCAGCTCTTGTGTGGAGGAGGCAGCTTGCCCCTTGGCAACACTGGCACCACAGAGCTGACAGCACGTCCTGTTGTCAGGGGATAAAGTGACCTGGGACGGTGGGGGGGGGAAAAGAAAGGTAAAGCCATCCCATTGACACTGCTGCCCAGGGGAGCTGGTGTGTGACTTGGTGCATCCTTCACGTGATGAAGAACTGCAGCTCTGCCCCTTGCTCACTCAGCCATCCCTCAGGGACACCCCGGTCAGTGAGCACCCTGTCTGCAGAGCAAGGGCAGGCAGAGTAAACTGTAAGCTTCAGGGCAGGGCTGCAGTCACCGTCCCTGCAAGTGTTCACACAGCGTGGAGACGAGGCCTCAGTGCCATGGGTTAGTGGTGGCCTTGGCAGTGCTGGGAACGGTTGGACTGGATGGGATTAAAGGGCTTTTCCAACCCGGTTGGTTCTGTGATATGACAGACATCCCATCGGGTACCGCTGCAAAGGGAACATAGCAGAGAACCGAGGTGCGCGTTCATGTGCTTTGCCCTCCCTCACTGCATCCCCGCACCCAGGCCCCCTCCAGGCGAACCCGGATCACGGAGCCTGCACTGCAACACCCGCTCTTGTCACCAGGTGGAGACACGGAGCCGCCGCTGCCGCCCCGCCGGCGGGGCTGGGGCTGAGGCTGGGGCTGGGGACCTCCTCCCGTCCCTATGGGGAAGCCCCGCTCCGTTAACGGCAGCCGCTGCGGTGCCTTCGCGTGTTGGGGACAGGGTAAAGCCTGGCCAAGATGCCTCAAGGGCACCTGCCTTTTATTGGGCACCCTTCAACGTTACCCTTACTGCTGGAGAGCGGACTGACACACCGGAGCGCATCAACTCCCCTGAGCAGCTTCTGCACTGCAGTGAGGGGGCTCGCTCCATCGGGGAGCGAGAGGGAGCGAGTGCAGTTACTGCCGTGCAGAAGGGAGATGGGAGTCCCTGAGGGCACTGGCACTGAGTTTCCACTGAGACCTGGAGGCTTTCCAGCTCTCTGACCCGCAGATGAACACACAAACAGTGATTTCAAGCCTCCTGCTACGAGCATGAAACCCCACAGCCTTTCCAGGACCCTTAGGTAAGTCCAGACCCCATGAAGTGGAATTCCCTCTTCTGCACTATAGACAGCACGATCCAAGAAGTCATTCAGGCTGAGCTCCTGTCCAGCTCCTGTGCACCAACAGAAAACCAGCTGGAAGTGAACCTGTGAGCACCTGGCATTCAGAGTGTCTAACCCCCTGCAGAAACCCAGAGGTTCTAAGGTCACTCCCAACAGCAGCAAGCAAGGCACTCTTAATACACTCTCCCAGCAATACACATGGCCAGCATCACTCATACAGAATCCCAGCCTGGTTTGGGTTGAAGGGGCCTTAAGCTCACCCAGCTCCAACCCCTGCCATGGGCAGGGACCCCTTCCACTGGAGCAGCTTGCTCCAAGCCCCTGTGTCCAACCTGGCCTTGAACACTGCCAGGGATGGGGCAGCCACAGCTTCTCTGGGCACCCTGTGCCAGCGCCTCAGCACCCTCACAGGGAAGAGCTTCTGCCTAAGAGCTCAGCTCAGTCTCCCCTCGGGCAGGTTCAAGCCATTCCCCTTGGCCTGTCCCTACAGGCCCTTGTCCCAAGCCCCTCTCCAGGTTTCCTGCAGCCCCTTTAGGCACTGGAGCTGCTCTAAGGTCTCCCCTTCAGGAGCCTTCCCCTTCCCAGGCTGCCCCAGCCCAGCTCTCAGCCTGTTGGATGCAGTGTGGCTGTTGGAGCCACCGTAGGACTCGGTGGCACTGATGCAGTTTCCATGCAGGCAGCCCAGCCTCTGACGAAGTCACCAGATGAGAACTGCCCACAGGACAGCACAGAGCACCACAATAGCTCAGACCAAGCCTGAGCACCCCGAGACCACGCTCAGACCTGCTCTGACCCCATCTGCAGCCTACAAATCCCTCCTGCAGCTCCTGCCTGCAACAAGTTGCCCACGAGGCATGGAAGAGCCCATTCCTGCTCTTCACAGCCAGTGAGGAGTACTCTGGACTGCAGCCGTGCCCTCTCACAGCTCACACAGACCAAGGGTGCAGGAGCAATGGCACTCAGCCCACGGCCACCAGAGCCCAGACTTCAGCCCTGTTCTTCACTCCACTGAGCAAAGAGATGCTGCAGGCAATAAGCAATAGCTCTTGTTTTCAGACCTGCTCCTTCCAGCCCACAATCTCCTTATCCCAAAGGGAGAGAAGCATTTTTATGCCTTAAGATCCTCCACATACAGGGAATTCTCCAGCAGGCTGGACCAAGCACCCAGATCCTATACACTGGTACAGATACCACTACATGGGGGTTCGTTTGCTAGACAGCTAGCAAACAGGTTGGACTTGATGATCTCAAACGTCTTTTCCAACCTGGTTGATTCTATGACAACTCCCAGCTGAGCCCCTGCACTTCCTGCCCTTACTGCAAGCACAGAGCTGTTGGGGAGGTCGCTGGTGAAGGGGCTATCATGGGCAGCAGCATGCTCAGCCTGTGTCTGGCTGGGGACACCCTCAGCAGCCTGGAGTGGGCATTTCCAGAAGCCACTGGTGTGGAAGCAGAAAGCATTGGGGAGCTATTTACCACAGAATGGTTTGGGTTGGAAAGGACCTTAAGTTCCAGCTCCCTGCCACAGAACAGGACATTTAGTGTACCAGGAACTGCACATGCAAGCTGCCTTTGCAACAGACAGTGGCTGGCAGCAGGCAGAAGTGAGATGGTTTCCTTTGATGGACACCCCAGCATGCCCAGGAGGAGCAGCCTTTGTGAAAGCTCCTTTCCAAGCTGCTCCTGAACCAGCAGCGTTGCCAAACCAAGCCAGAGACTGCATGGGTGAGAGCAGGGCATCACTCGAGGGGTCTCTACAGCCCCATGGACCAGGCTGAAGGCTCCTGAGCCGTCTGTGAGCAAACACACTGTGAGGGGAATGGGCTGTGGCAGCCACTGCAGCCGCTCTGAGCCATCACCTCCCCATTCCCAGAAACCTGAACAAAGGCCACAGTGTGCTTGGCTGCAGAAAGGCTTTTCCTGGAGTTTACGTGCAGCTAAAAATACCTTGGGAAAGTCATTAGGCAGCAGAGGCAGCTGCAGCAGCAGAGCGCTGCGGCGGGGCCCTACCTGCTGCAGCCTTTCCTGCGATAGGAGCCGAGCCAGCAGCCAGCAGCGGCCCCCGCACGCACGGCCTCTGGAAACATCCTCCCTAAACATTCCTGCAGGGAAAGGAGCTGCTGCCCCAGACAGGCTGGCAAACAAAGCAACGCAGGCAGCAGGAGCAGCAGCAACAGCCAGCAGTGCGCAAGAGCAGTCCTAGAGCGCACAGCAGAGAGAGTGACCTTGGAGAGGTCCCCAAGTGCGGTGGGGAAATCCAACCTGGAAGCAAACAGACTCTCCCTTTCACAGCTCAGCTGCTCCCCTCCACACCGGGATGAGGGGTGGGTCACTAGTACTAGAGGACATGAAGGAGACCTGATAGCGTGGAGAAGGAACACCTTGATCCAGAGGAGTAACCCCAAGTCCTCTGCTGGGTCCCCAGGAGGTGACCGGGTGATGCCAGGCCCAGGGGTGCTCTGCTCCACAATCAGAGCCTGTAGAACATCACCAGTGATGGGGAGCACACCCCAGCCCAACACGAAACACCAGACCCCAGCAGTGCAGCACCATCCTGCAGCACTCAGGCACCTGTGGTCACCCTTGTGTGCAGTGCAGGGACAGAAACCCAGTGCTTTTCCCTAGGGTTTATGGGGTTTCTAGGCAAAACTCAAGCTGGCCTTGCCCCTGAGCCCACCCAGGGCTGGATGCACCATCCTCTCCCTGCAGACAGCTCTGCTGCAACCCACAAAGGTTTCCCTGCAAACCAGCACACCCCTGCTCAACCACAGGGAAAACATGACACCATCATAACCATCGTGGGTGAGGTGACCACATGTCTCTATTTACACTGTTAAATCCAAGTCGAGCTTACTCCACCACAGCTCAGGTGCTGAAAGGCTTTGTTCTGAGCAGCACAGAGCAAGTGGCCAGCCCTTCAAAGCCACTGTCTCCAAGAGCAAGGAGAAGGTACAGCTGAGGCTGGGTAAGGTCCTCTGGCAGCTTCTGCCC